ACAATCAATATTACTAACATTGTATTTCCCATCTCAGGCTCGATCGAACAATGAAATATGGAATTGTTGAACATTTTCCACGACGCTCGGTAGCTTACACCTTATGAACCTATTATGAACTGAGACTAGGCAGGCTCGGCAGGTCTGCATTGGGGTCTCCAGTTATAATGGAACGTAAGTGGGTAAAGTAGTTCGAGAATCTATAATTTTGATCGTTATATATAGCAAACGGCCTCGAGGCTGGCGTAGCAACTATCTCGGGTGCGAAACATCATTGTCTCCAGTGAAATATTGATCTGCTTACTTCTGTTCTTGAGAGGGATCTACTCATATCGATAAAATGCGTAGAGAGCAGAGACAACCATAGAACGAGCATATTTCTTTTCTGCTGTACATACCCAGGTAGGTAGGTACCTACAATTACAATCATCGTTTCAATCCGGTCTACGCCAGGTCACGTGGGAATCCAACCTTGTAACCGCCAGGGTTAATTTCTTCAGCGCTTACTTGCAGAGCTGGACAACCACCACCATACAGGTAACGAGGCTTATCATCACATCAAACATGGGGTCAACTATTATGGCAGCGGCTATGTATCTTGAGTCCAGCGGTAGTATCATGCAGTCTCACACATCGTACCTGAAGAATTGTGACGCCATGTATATGGCCCATAAGCCGGCTGTTGGAAAGGCTCTATTGGTTTGCAAGGTAACGTTGCGGGGATTGTTTGGTGTTTTGTGAGCATATCGCTGTTTTCTCTTGATGGAAACTTTCTACATCATTATTTCATTCTTTCCCTTCAGTTTTTTCTCGTATTTCCTTGCCGTCGGGTTTTTCCTCGATTTTATTCTATTTCCTTTCTTCTATCAGTATCATCAGTGCCATGGGTTTCTTTGAAATTTATCCTAGATTCATATTATAATGATGTATGAGACGCTGGACGACTCGGAAAGTGAATTTTTGCCATCTTCGAGGTCAGTAGAATCTAATTCTGGTTCTTTTTCTTCCCATACATATGCCACCTGAATCGAGACCATGACTTAGAGCTCTTGTGCCCAACAGATTGAGTGACTCGAAGAAATACGACCTCAACTCTTCCATCATCACAAGCATCATGAAGTTTCGAAATGCTCAGATCAATTTGGAGAATGTATATACACAAATAATGCTGACATCCCGTTCCTACAGTGGTTCCCAGAATGGCAAAGTTACCATTGAGCCTCCTCATACTCATATACGCATTCTCGAATTGTGTTAATGCTGAATTTTCTTTACCATCTCAAGTAACGAGCTTTATTCCTTCGTGCGCTCAAGTCTGCTTCGAGTCCTTTGTACAAGACAACTTTCCAACAAATGTTTGTGGCGATACACCGACGTTCGACTGCTTATGTGAAAATGGTAGCAAGTCTACATATACGGTAGGAGATGGGGCAGTACAATGTATAATGTCAGAAGCCAGCGTGGGCTTCTGTAATGGAGATGATTCCTCTAGTAAGTCATTTGTCGAGGTTTGCTTTACGGAACTTTCTAATCTGTCCTGTAGATGATAGAGTACTAAAAGCATACAACATGTGTAATTCCGAGAAGAATGCACTGCCAAATACGCATAGCACTCTTACAGCAACTCTCGTTTTACAATCAGGCTCCGCAAGTATCGTCCAAATTGCTCCAGTGGTAACGACAAGTGCTAGTGATTCAGTAGCCACAACTTTACTCACAACTGCGCCTCCAGCTACAGCTACATCCACTCCAAGTTCAACTACGAAATCAAAATCATCGGCAGGGGTACCACAACCGGCAGCTGCTACGGGTGCCTATTCGTCACCGGAGAAAAGTAAGACAGTACTATCGACTGCGCAAATAGCTGGAATTGTGGTAGCAGGAGTCGGTGGTGTGGTTCTGGTAGTTGGAGCTCTATTGCTATTTGCCTGTATGAGGCGGAAAAGGCAAGCAAATCGAGATAGTGGATATCTCCCATTCCAGCAAGAGCCTTCTTTGAGCATCAAATCTCAATCTCACTTCGGTATTACGAAGCCAATGGCGCCATCACCAGCTTCCATTTCAACCCGAGGACCAACGCCAATAGGGCCATTTTTGGGGGCTCGAATGCCTTCGAGGGGGGGCCAACCAAGCCCCGATCCTTTCTCTCAAAGGAACGCTATTTCAGAGAATATCGGTCTTGCCATGACCTCCGAAAGTCCCCAAAACAATATGTTAACCCCTATAGGTTACACTGAGGAAGTATTCCAACGTGGCCCGTCTCCACTTTTGCCCGAAAGACCAGCCCTTACTCTGCAGGTTCCTTTCCAGCGAAACCCCAACGATATCCACACCGCTGCCTATCAGCATCCATCAAAATTCACGGGCAACAATCGACAATCTGTAGTTACGCAATTCGAAGATGAAGATTCATGCAGCACAGCTGTCGCATCCGAAGCACCATGGAATGCGGCCTCCTATGGGTCCATATCGAAAGAAAAAGTTCTCCAACAGCCCGACCCCGCACATTATCAATCACCTCGCCGCCAAGGTGAGCTTTCGCCAAATGAAACAGAACATATTATCGATTCATATAAGGATCCTTCAGTAGAGCCTGACTTCTACATACGCCCCCTTAATCTCCAAAGAAACTTTTCACAACCTCATCGGCCCGAAAATGCAATGAAACCTTCCGTTCATCGCGATCCATCTACCAAGGATCCCCTTAGAGCAACTTCATCTGTATATTCGGCAAAATCCCACGATCGTCGACCCTCTTCAAATGAAATCGAGAAGCTGAACTCACTCATGCAATCTAACCCTTCATTCCGCCACGTGTTAGGGAAATCCGCATACAATCCCGTAGGATCATATGATCAAAATCGCACCTCTAGAGCTTCAATAGGGTCTATGACATCCTTTGAAACCATGGATTCTATCAATCCTGAGCCCCAAGAGCTTTCTGGCGACACTAACCTCAGCCCTGTCGTCGAATCTCCCATGGACAAATCAAACGTTATCGGTGTGTCACCAGTCAAGTACCCCAAGATCAAAGGAAACTTAAGCCAACGGCATTCTCGTACTCGTCGTACCCGCACATCGATTATAACCAATTTTCCCGCGCCACCACCAATATCTATCGAGTCACCCATCCACCCCCCTACAGCACATAGTAAAAAACCATGGCAAGAAGCCGAGATCGCCGCTCAGAAAACGCGCATGGCATCTTTAGGACTATCGCCCGGAAACTTTCTCTCGCCAGGCTCTCACAACTCTGGCATCACTATTCGAAAAAGTAATGACTTTTTCAGTCCCACCCATTTAGCTTCAAGGAGCCCTCCCCCGCCAATACCATTACCCTTACCACCAACTTCTAGACAGAGAGATATGAGTCCAAGAACTGCAAATGGTAGTGGGTCTAAGAGAAACGCCCCACCCCCTTCTTTAAGTCTCACCACTTCTCTAGAATCATCACAAAAATGGAGAGTCCTTCCCGACACCAACGCCAATGTCAACATTACTAACACCACCACTACTACTTCCTCTCATCAACAAACCTCGCCCACCGTCGTATCTCCACACTGGCGACCACAAATACTCACCGGGATATTGAGAAAAGATAGCGTTCAATCCCTACACAAACCCACCACCACCGTCTCCTCCTCCAACAATATTCTCTTCCAACCACTCTCTGTCCCCATCCACACCTCTATGGACCCCGAGATATCCTCAATTTACAGCCAAGAAACACGTAATTTTACATTCGATCCGCGTCTTACACAAATGACTACCATGTCTGAAATAAAAGCTCAGGGGCAAGCTCCTGTTAATTCTTCGACGAGCGAAGGTGTCAGTACAGCTACAGATACAAATACGAATGGTGGTTCAGTCGTATATACTAAAGACGATGGATCAGGCAAAACGATCACTATCAATATCGATGGAGACAATCCCAGTGGTCTACCTAAGACACCGGGTTGGCTACCGACATTGACGCCCACGAGACGGGGAAATGATTTGTTCTTGAATGTGCAATAGTGCGGTACACAAACTATATTCGAACAAGTGGGGATATGATAATTTAAACGTGAGGGCAAGTAAAGAGGAGGGCGTCGGTTCATTATTACAAAATATATCAGTAGATATCTCTCTTTCGTGCCGAATTTCTTTTCCTTTGTGGTTAATCTTGTACGAATATAAGTATGAAGTTATGTGTCTTGGGATGAATAGGATGGAATGGGATAGGAATGATGCTGGACTAGGCATCTTTAAGAACAGGATTTACGTTCTTTATTTCTTTTGTTAAAGAAAATACCCAAGTCAGGAATGCAGGATATGGAGTTACAGAAGCATTATAGGAGTTATAGCTGTTACAGGGAGGGGCGTTAGTTCTGTTGTTAGATGTGTCTGTAGGAAAGGGCCTGGGGATTCTTTGCACGTGTTCCAATCGAAGTCAAGCCATAAGACTTAGGCGACATATTTGGGGTCTACTGTATTAGTATAGTGGTAGCTATTTAAATCTTGATCTACCAATTTGGTTACACTTCTTGTATTAATGGTGTTGCTATCGATGTAGCTGTGGCTCGACGACAAAAGTAAGGTGAAGACATGAATTAATGAGAAACAAACTAAAAGAGTTGCAATAGAGAAATGACAGGAATTCTGATTACGATCCCACATGGAAACATGAAGTGGAGAAAAACAAAAAGAGAAAACGATGAGAAAGGGATTATGTCGAGGCCGGAAGACGACTTCGTTAGAGAAATACCAACGCAAATTTGAAAATACCGATCACATGCATTTACCGTCCCAGGATATCATCTCATAGCTTCGTAAAAGTCGGTACATCCATCCCAGAACCCCAGGCTCCTGTATATTCGCGAAATACACCAATTTCCCTGATTCAACAACCGGCTTGTATGCGAAAAGAGAAGAAATTATAACGTCCATGTTCCTGTTGGCTCGCTGAGTACATAGGGAACACGATAAAAACGTATGATTAGGATTTCTTGATAGACGAGTTAATCCTGCCAGTGAGTAGGAATCACTGGCTCGACATCCTGCTTTTCCAAATATTTCATCAGCCTATCCGTCCAATTTTCGTCTATCCGTCGAAGGATGTGCTTACATATTGGTCTGATTGAAAGAGGTCGTCGGTAAATGATGGCTCACTCATGATGCTTGGAATTGGTTTGGGTTTCTCGTCTATACCTTGAGATTAGCTATGTGCAACACGTATTACGGTGAAGTCTGGTAACTTACCAGGGGAGGATGCACGGCGAAGTTGGATCTTCGATTGCAAGGTTTGTGTTTCAATTTTAATAATTGGAGGGGAAATGGTAAGACGGGATTCAGCCTGTTGATGTAAGTGTTCGGGAGATTCGTTTGGCGAAGGGGAAGTTTGGAGAAGGAACTGTCTCTCTGGATGCATGCCTTGATTGAGAGCCGACACATTAAACTCGCTTTGTGGATAAATATCCTGTACCGTTACGAAGGTAGACTTTTCGGGAGAGAGGCTTGAACGCTGGCTAGATGAGATAAGCATAGGGAGATCATTGAGGAAGCCTTGTCTCTCTAGGTGTATGCCTTGATCTGAAGCAGATACAAGGGCCTCGCTTTGTGAGGACATTTCTTGTAATGGTATGGGCAATGGGGAAGTGTTTGAATGCTGCGCAGATGATTCAGATAATTTAGCAAAGCCAACATCTTTCTCCATATCGGTCGTAACATCTATCTTAGTTTCAGTCGGTGGTATTTGTCGAGCTTTTCTTTTGCGAGGGTACAGAAGGGAAGATATTTGGTTCTGGATATCCAAGCCCTGCGCTTTGCTCTGCCTTCTCCTTTCAAACAACAACGATCTCACATCTTTGACAGGGCTGACGGGGGTATCTTTTGCCACTGATGTTGATTGCTCCAAAGTTATTGTTTGTTTAAGGGGTTTAGATTCTCCTACGGAAGTGGCGAGTGGAATATCCTTCGAAGTGGTTGTGTCAGCTGCTTTGATTGCCATTAATTCTTTATGCTTACGACTAGCAATTTCCGCCCACGATTCTTCAATTGGACTTGGTGGCTCAGGAGAGTTGTAGGCAGGAAACATGAATTCTCCGTGCTTGCGACTGGCAAGTTTCGTCCACGACTCTGTAGTCAGTGTCTTGAAATGGTTAGAAGCAGGAACTTTCAATTGCATACAAATGGGGGTGGATAAAAGCTACCTCTTCGTCATCTAAAGATTCTCTAAGACTATAAGTTGATGCAAGAGAAAGAGCTCGGCTTTTGGACTCAGGAAACATACTCGTATTTCGAACGGAATACGATGGTCTATAGTAGGAACTATTTTGAACGCCCCGGTCCTTAGGAGAATCTCTGCGAGAAGACGGTGTGTAATAGGAACCTCTTGAAGCGCCTTTATCAGTAGGAGAACTTCTACGAGGATTTTGTCCATAGTAGAAGCCGCTTGGAGTGTCTTGGTCTCTATGATCTGGAGATCGAAATCTATAGGAACTGGAGCTTGATACCTTTTGGGCCGAAATAGAGGAAATAGAGCGCTGGGACTGACGAGACTTGTGCGGGTTTTGACTGATACGGGAGCTTTTGGGGCTTCTGTAACGCGGTCGATAGTGGTTGGAATATCGACGTGTTTTAGAAATGGAACGGTGGTGGTCGTCAGGGCTTCTGGAGCGGCACTGAGAGCGGGTGCGACGGGGGGACTGGTGGGTTTCCAATGGGGAGCGAGAACGGAACCGACCACGGAAACTATCCTCATTGTCTTCCTCTTGCTTGATTGAGCCAAACATGTAGGACGAGGCTTCGGCACGAAAGTTAGGAAGGTCCTCATCGTTTTCTTCTTGCTTGAGTGGATTTGAATTGTAAGTTGGAATTTTGGTGCGAGAACCCAGAGGCTCCATATTGGCATTTCCAGCCATCTTCTTTCCCTTGCCCATTGTAACTAGATTCGATTAATAACTGATTTTCTGTTGAACACACAACTGCTGTTAGTAAGTAATGTAATGGTGATCGAAGTAGCAGAAAGCAACTTGAATTTAGCACTGTATCTCCTGGGAAAGAGAAAATCAAGACAGATAATCTTGGAATGATATTGGTTATGAGAGATTGTTTTTTTTTTTGGATTTTTAAAGGTTTCGAAGATGTTGTGGAAATATTGTGTTTATTGTTGTTTACAAATATTGTGGAAGAGATCTTGATGTAAATATCGGAGGCACTTCGGGAAAACAAGGGTGATTGTCTCTGTCTCTCGAGAGAAAGAACCCTCATATGGCTTTGGCTGACTTACTACTATTGAGCTATTCACCAGTACAAACATGAAAATTTGTATCCAGCATTACTCGTCTCATCAATATCTAACATCAATGAATACTAACCCTTTATCTGTGTGGGCAAGAAATACAAATTCGCGCATGCCCAAAATATACTTCATCCAACCTATACCAATGGAAGTTCTTATGATCTTTCAGACAGTATATTTCCAAACGTTTTATGTTGAGTTCTTCTATACCACACCAGATCTCAAAATAGCTCTCAGCATATAACAGTGTCTTCTGCAACTGCACAAAATACTGTCATCCACCTCATCTGCTTCTTCGGTTTCATCCGCCGAGCATTCTACTTCATGTCCAACGTTATATCGATGCCAGATAGAAACTCTTTAATCGACCACCTCTAGCATTCTATGTTCAATTGATCAAAAGGTTTGATAATCTAATACTACGAAAGCTCGTAGATGAATTTCAGGGTAGGCTATTTTGACTACCTTCGAATGTTCTCTTAGATCGATTTCCCGATGTTTTATATATTTGGTCTGATGTAGCCAATCAAATACAGCAGTGTCGAAGATGACTGGAAAGACACCTCTGATCATTTTCCTGAACTATCGTTACAAGATTCGCTGAAAGATGTTGTAAATATCAATACGACGCTGTCTCTCTACACACATCAATCATCCAACTAGTCTTGCTGGTTATCTTGGTTTTGAAGCTTGCAAATGGAGCATTGTTTGTATTCCGGTTTCCCATGCATGTTCTGCTTTTTAAGTAGTTTACACAGACGATATAACTCAGGGTGCGAGTCAACATGCCGAAAACTTGCCAACACTTGATAGGTTAATGTGATTCATTATTCCATTTCCTGCTGTTCTCGAAATAGCTCATTAGTTTTACCCTTCCCCGCACTACCACGCTCCAGACACCTCAGATTGTTCATTTACTCGTTTTCCTTATAGATGCTACATCAAATTCATCATGGCTGGATAAGACCATTGAACCTTGTTTTCCCGTTGAAATTACCTAGTAACCATAATAAACTTAATATTCATTCACATTCGAAGAGTGATTCGAATTCGAATCTATGTCCCTAGGTAATCTTACAATCTATAAGTGAAGCTATAGCATTTTATCGAACTTTAGAATTTCAAAGGCGTTGAATCTGAAAGTCGATTGACATAGGGGGGGAAGCGAATAGAAAAATAAAAGAGGAAACCTCAACTTACTTTGAATCACTTATTACTTTTGGTATCGACTCAGTTAATAAGTGTAAAGTACTTTTAGTCTTCTATGGTTGTAATCGTTCTTCATTATCATAATCCATCGGAAGCTAGTACTTATATAAAGAAGCACTAGCGTCTCGCTAGCTAAAACAATGACCTCCTTATGATCACATGATCGATATCCCGATACTTAGATTTTATCTCATCCTCAGACCACACAGTGATTATATAATTTTTGGCCTTGATTTCGAGGCAGGACCTCCTAAAGGTTTATTACCATAAGATCTGAAACTATTTGGTTCTAACCTTGGTGTGAATCCTAACAATTCAATATTTTTCAGTTTTTCCATTAAATATTATAAATCATTCAATCATTATATCACTTTATTACAGATCCAATTTATAAAAATGATTTTTCTTATTATTTTGATACATTTTTTATTATTATAGTTTTATTCTATTATATACAAGTACAATATTGAAATTTAAAAATGATATTTTTGAATTCCAACATTTTTATTAAATTAAACATTTACCCTCTTCAAAATCTATTACCATTATTATTCTAATCAAATATATATATTCTAAAAATCCTATTATTTATTTTATCCTTCTAATATAAATAGAATTCTAAATAATAAAGATTGTGTTACGGGAGCTGCCTCTAGGGTCACGTGGAAGTGTCTAGAGATCTCTCGAGATGGTTTAAACTAAACTTCAAGTAGGAATTCAATAAGGTTGTAACTGGTTGCAATTCTCGTAACTATAGTAATGAAACTAATGATTGTTCTTGAGCACGAAGCTCTACATTGTAATGAAATCCCATTCCCTTATATAGATCTTCGTACTCTGATGTTGGTTGGAGTTTCTTGGAGTCCTGGCTCCCAAGGACCTCCTTGGAGCCCTGGCTCCTGGGGACTCCACCACGTGACACTTGTCACATGGCATTCTGTTACCCATCGTAACACTATCCCCTTCCTAGACTAGCGCTTGTCCCAAGCGTCTTATAATGCTCCATTTCCCCACCCGGCCGGTGAATCAAATGGTCTTAGGCTCTTTCATTATGTCTATCACCACTATTTCCCCTAATCACCTAACTGTTCGAAAACGTAAGGAACAAATCCTTCTTGCTCAGGCTATTGAATCTAGTGATGTCGAAATGATTCCGTGTTCGCGTTGTCGTTTGGATGGTTATCGATGTGTTAAGGATTTGTTTCGTTCCAATCACTCTCGTTGTTCTGAATACATGCATGCACGTTCTTCTTATAATGCTGAGTTTCCTTTGGCCGAGGATTGGAATCGAGAAGTTCCTCGGGAAGACGATTGGCGCGCCTTGGATCGTCAAGAGGAACGCCTTCGTTCGGAGGAAGAAGAGGCTATGGCGAAGATCCTTCGCCTTAGGAAACAACAAAAGTTGTTGCGCGAGCGGCGTCAGCGCATGGCCGACCGTGGCCTTAAATATTTGGATGAGCTTGATGCTCTGGAAGAAAAGGAAAGGCTAGAGAAAGAGCGTGTTGAGAGAGAAAAAGAAATGGCGTCTGCCTCTGTTGCTGGTCCTATCGACGACTCCTTTGCTTTCGATTCTTCTTTGCCTGAGTTGTCCGAAGCGGATTTTGAGGCTTTATTGGCAGGTGTGGGTACTTCAGGTGGAATGCCCGTAGCTTTTCAGGGCAGCTGAGATCTTCCTTGAATTCCCATGTGTTTTCTGAGTGTGGGTAGTCTAACCATTTGATCAAATACTTGACCTTGTTTCTGACGTATTTGCAGTCTAGTATTGTTTCGACATCGTATATGGCGTTTGGGTTGACTGGTTCAATTTCTGTAAATGGCGCATTTGGCGCTCCTGGTGGTGCTGGTTCAAGCAAGGATATGTGGAATACTGGGTGGATATTCATTGTGTCTGGTAATTTCAATCGATAATTAACCGTTCCTATTACCTTATCAATCTTGAATGGTCCTAGTTTCCTGTGGTCGAGTTTATTGCTTGGTCTCTTGGTTTCGATGTTTCGTCGTAGCAAATAAACTTTATCCCCCTCTTTAAGCGTAGGTTCCATACTACGTTTCGTATTGTAGTACGCTGCTGTTCTGGATGATATGAATCTTAGATCAAGAGCAAGCTGCTCTTGTAAATCCTTTAATTGTTCGACTTGTATTATTGCTGATTCGGCATTAACTTCCTGTAGTATCGGTGTTTGGTATGCTTTAGGATTAAACCCAAAGTTCGCGCGTGCTGGTGTAATCTTTGTGGTTTCCGTTTCCGATGTGTTATATGCGAATTGTGCCATAGGTAATAGCTCTACCCAATTGTCCTGTCGATAATTTATATAGCATCTAAGATATGCTTCCATTGTCTGATTGGTCCTTTCTGTTTGACCATCTGTCTGTGGGTGGAAGGCTGTTGATAGCTTTCTCTTAATACCCATGAGTGCTAATAAGGTAGTCCAGAATTTCGAGGTAAAGAGCTTGTCTCTGTCCGAGATTATCTCATCTGGTACTCCGTGTATGCTTACTATGATCCTAAGGAACACATATGCTAGCTGCTCAGCATCCCATGTTTCCTTGAATGGTATCATATATGCAAATTTCGTTAGCCTGTCTACTATATTGAGTATCGCGTCGTACTCAATGCCTGTAGTAGGATCTTTTGAGAGTGGTAGTTTAACCACAAAGTCCCATGTAATGGACTTCCATGGCTGAGAAGGCATGTCTGGGGTCTGGAGCTGGCCATACGGAGCGTGTCGTGATGACTTGTTTCGTATGCAGGTGTCACAATTTCCAACAACTTCTTCAACTATCGTTCTCATTCGTGGGAAGTAACTGATTTCCCGTATTCTTGCAAATGTTCTTGCAATTCCTTGGTGTCCGTGTGCCGGCAACCCATGTTGTTCCGTCACGAATTCCTTGGTCATTTGACTCGGAATGTATACTTTTCCATGAAAGTATATGGTCTCGTTTTCTATCGTGAACCCTAGTTCTATTGTCTTGTGTATGCGTATAGCCGTAGCATCCTTGTCGTAATGTGATTGGATTTTGACCCTGAGATGGTTGTCTTCCAATGTATGCGTAGCTGCGAGCTGTGGTGCATTGTAAACCAGTGATTCGCCTTCTTTCTTGAATATAGCGTACGATTCGTACGACTTATTTTCTTGATATTCTGGTTTTCGGCTAAGAGCGTCGGCTCTAGCGTTTTCTGATCCTTTGACATATGAAATCTTAAAATTGTAATTGGCCATGGTCTCTGACCATCTGACCTGTCGTCTGTTTAACTGCTTCGTTGTGGTGAAGTAAACCAAGTTCTTGTGATCTGTATACACCTGTACTGTGTATTTTGACCCTTCCAAATAAACTCGCCATTCTCTAAATGCATCGACTATCGCCAGTAATTCTTTGTCATATATTTCGTAGTTCAATTCGGCTGGTGATAGCTTTCGAGAGTAGAAT